AAGATCTAAAATTCATCTAGCAGCCCCAGCTCCCCTCTTGCAGCCCCACCACAGGCTCCGAATATGACTGAACATTGGGAAGGAGCTTTAACAGCTGGTTTAGGTACAACAGAGAGGAAGAAAAAACAACAACAAAAACCCACCCAAAAAGCAGGGGGCAATTTCACAACAGGCCCATCCTTTCCAGAATTGTCTCAGACAGACAGGATGAAGCCCTTCGTAACACAGCTGCATGAAGAGGCCAGAATGGTGCCATTATCACATCTGGAGTGGCTGCAGGCTATGGAGGTCCCTCCAGGTTAGTGGAAGCTCTGGAGGCTCCGCATCCAGGTGGCACTAGTCTCCAGCCTCTGCGACCAGCCCGCTCCCCTGCTCTGCACTTCCCATTCTTCCCAGCCATAACCTGATATGGAAGACACTGACGGGGCAAAGCCAGGCTGCATTTGGAACAGTGAATCCCATGTTACAGCACTCATTCAGCTAACAGAAAATCTTTACTATGGCAGAAGGGTTTCCTCAGCTTTCCTGTGCAGTAGAGGATTAATTTTGCTTGGCCTTGCTCAGGAGCACATTCCACGTTCATAGCTACATCCCTCAACCACATTTTCACTTCGGGAGTGCAGGGAGCCCTGGTGCAGTTCAGGCCCTGGTGACATGGCACTACAGAACAAGACAGAGCCATCCCAGAAATACATGTTCTAATTCTAGGAAGCAAACAGAAAGCAGATGGAACCAGACACACAAGGAGCACAGACAGGACAACACTGCTCACGGTGGGCCACTTCCCAACAGGATCTTACCTGGCTCCCAGAGGGAAGGGTGCTACAGCTAATGCTAACACAGAATGGAAAATGGGTTTACGATATCTCTGATGAGAGGTTACTCACAATTGCTCTGCTCTTCTCTCCACATCTCCTGCTGGTTGCTTGGCTCCTCTCCCTCCCTTGTCCAAGCCTGCCATCTACTTGCCTGGCCACAGACCAGCTCCACACATTTCTTTCCTTGCTTCTTGCTATACAAGCCCTTTCCTGACCAGACATATTAGATACCTGCTGCCCTTTATTACAGACATTAGCTGTATCCTGCAGGACCTTTTCCCCCTTCTCCTAGCCCCTACTTCTACAGGTACCGTGTGACCTGCCAGCCACCAAAGAGTGGCCTGGGGCTCAGCAGGACTCCCTTGTCAGTCCCTGGTCGGCTAGCAAAGAGTGACAGTCTGAGGGACATCCACTCAGAGGCGAGAAACTGCACTACCTCCAGCCATATGCTCCATCTTCACCCTGTGTTAACAAGCTCGGGATATTTTCCTAGCAACACCACTTACACAGGCTGCATCTTTGCTTTCTTGAAGTTCCTCCCTATCAGGGACATGCGCCCATGACTCCCCTGCCCCAGCTGCATTGGGCTCCCTGCGCTGGCAGCGTGTTCAGCACACAAGGCAGCACGTTTGGGTCGCTGCCTCTCACACAGCCTACGTCCAAGGTCATCACCCAACTGATCAGACAGTGCCCTTACTCAGTGGCACTCCCCAGGGAACGGGCAAGTCTCATCACCTGCTACAGCAGAGGTAATGACATTCCAGCCTAGTATCAGCAGCCCGGGGGAAAGCCAGGACCTGCCTCTGGGAAGGGGTTCACAGATACTCTACCTGCTAGAGATCTCATACTCTTGAGCATCTACGGCACAGGGGATTCCTGCAACAGTGACAGTTTCTGCAATGTCTTGATGTTTCTGCCCGAGGTTTGAGCCAGTGATGGTGATTCTAGTGCCACCTTCCACTGGTCCAGACAGGGGGTACACCTGCAAAGACATCCGAGCATGTGTAAATGTCACAGTATCTCAAATCCTTGCAGTCTGGCAACTGATCTGCAGCACAAGATCCTTCAAAACCGCCCCATTGCTGACTCTGCCTTGTCAGGGCATTGCAACGGATTCGTTTTACTGGCTGGGACTAGCATCAATTTGCATCATCACCACAGGAAAAGCCGGAGAGGAGAACACCACAACCAGAGCCACCTTCCCATACCTCACTGTTGCAAGCTGTCCCCCTAGAAACTACAGAGTGCTAAGCAAGGGCTGCCCTGCTTTGGCTTCTCAAAAACATGCTGATCACTCCATA